ACAAGTTTCATTTATTATGAAAAACTTTAAAATAAAATTATGACTAAGAATTGAAGGAATTACCACAATCTTGACATTTTTTCAGCTAAATTTTCAGAACATGTGAAGACTTTTTTTTTTTTTTTTGGTAAATGTTGATTATGTGGATTTTAACTTTAATTTTCATATCAACAGAAAGAAAACAGTACCAATTACAAGTAGCAAATTGACTTTCAAGTTGCTGATCATAGAGTATGCCTGCATGCATCAAATGTAATAAGCAATATGGAGGAATAAAGTCATTATATAAAGGTTTACCTTTTAAAGAAATCTTAAACTGCCTTATACTACTGCATATTTTGATAAACAACCTTTTCTAGACTATAAAGTTTTAAGCAAAAATGAAAAGACTTTTACAGTTACTGTAAATACAACTGTAGAAACCCAGAGAAAATTGTGTATTTATTAAAAAAATTATTGAAGGTGCTTGACACATTTGAGGGACAAATGATTGCTATGTGCATATAGAAAACATCAGTATAGGTAAAATATTTGTTTTACATGCGGTCTTAATATATCTTTTACCCTTGCAGAAGATGTACGTCATTGTTTTTATTAGTTACTTCTCCCCTGTTGTGAAGTGCCAATGTCCTGCTTGTTGTTTCACAGGGAGTAAGCCAGGCAAAAGAGGAAGTCCAAATTCCTCTCTCTGTTTTAAATGCTTTCTTTCTGCAAGTCCATTCATAGCATTTGATGAAGTAGACTGTTTCCTACATAACCTCATGCATCTCTGAACCAGTTAGTATCTAAGGTGCCACCTGGCCTACCTTTTGCTTAAATTCATGGAAAGACACAAACAAGAAAAATCTTGTTCCTGCAGCACATTTTCTTGTGAGCATTGACAAATTTGTAATTATAGTCTCTGGTGCCAAACTAACAAATAATTACTGTTATTTCTAAATTAAAGCATGCAAATCTCAAGGTGTGTATATTTTCATATTGTGAATTAAGTACTTTTGTTTGAACCTTGAATTGTTATTGCAAATGATTCAATAAAGAAAACGTCTAATAAAATAACAAGTAAAGCCTGGGCCAAATATACATTTTAACATTACAACACTTATTAGTATATGCTTGTTAGAGGACCTTACAGGACCTGCTTATTGTGTAAACTGTAAGATTAGAGCCTGATTTTTCAGAGGTAGGGATTGTTCTGTCCTCCTAATGTTGTCACTGAAATCTGTACAGGGCTAAGCAGCTCTGTAAATGAGGCTTTCAAGGTGCTTGAGTAATGAATTTGCTCGTTATGCAGATTCTGTTCTACCCAGGAGAGTGCACAAACACCAACAGACTCTTCCTATGCCTGAAGAAGGGTGACCGAAAGCTTGCAAATAAGAATTTTTTTTCCAACTGTTAAATTGGTCTAATAAAAGATATCCCATCTATCCAAAGAAACTTGTCTGCCTTGCAATACAGAGAAATTCACAGGGCGAATAGGATTTTGAAGAAGTCCCAGTGTTCTGTAAGGCATAGTCAATAAAAGGAAGTCATTGTGGTTATGATGATATTAGCCAAAATTGTTTTTAAGGCATGGTAATATTTTACCATTGTTAACATCAATTGGTAGGTGTACTATTTAGGCTGCCAAGGAAGAAATAGAAGAGGTATTTACAGTGGAATTGCACCTAAGCCACAGAACCCAAATCTAAACTCTACCAAAAGAAGGTTGAATGGATCATAGCATTGGACTTGATTCAATTCCTACCTTTTCTGGCAAACATTCTTGTTTAGTCTCTCTCTTCCTTGGTTCCAGAAAGAAGATAACCCAGGATGATCTTGTGAAGGTAAATTTATAAGCGCTTAATAAGGTGCTGTGGTGCTAAGACTCTTAGATGTACATATAGAATAGATAGAAGTTTAGAGACATTCGGATCCAGGTTTTGATTAAGGCTTAGATTCAGGTTTATATTAAAGCAAAATTTAAAAGGAGTTGGCACTGCGTGGAATGTTTATAACAGTACATGAAAACACAGGAAGATAATCTGCTTCCTGGTTTTCACAGCAAATTGAGAGTTTGTGAACCTTCAGAAGCTCATAGACTATGCAAACCTAGAGCCAGTTTCAAGCATGTCTGGGTTGGCTTATTGACTTTTGTATGGTGCAATACATGTCTAGGTTGGCTATACAACTTTAGTATACCTATAACATCTTGTGTGAAGATGAATGAACTGTTGTCAAGTGGTGCTACATAAAACTTGGGTAGCTTTCCAGTGCCCTGGTATTTGCAAGGTCATACTTATGTTAGCTTCTAAGGGCAAATACGTTTGAACTACTGCAAACAGTGCTTTTTTGGGGGGGGGGGCGGGGGGGGGGGGGAGGGGGGGGAGGGGGAGAGTAGGCTGGGGAAGCATTGAATAGCAAGAAAAGAGAATGCTGTGGAAATTTAAAAAGGAAATGTTAACATTTTCCTACAGCTTCTAGCTATGAATACTTAAAAAAAAAATATGACTTCAGTTTTATTGATCCAAATGGTGCTTTGTTTTTTAATAAATGAACTGCCTTCAAGTTATCAGAAAACCAGCCAACATATCAGTGAAACAGGAAGAAAGACTATAAAGTGAATGAATGTAGCAGGAACCTTTTGTTCTCTAACTAAGTGCAGTTAATCAGGTGTTCTTTGCTGTGTATTATTAGTAATATATCTTCTGAAAAGTCAGCAGAAGGGTATGCCTGTTATCTTATTTATCCTGTCCATTTTTCAAGAGGGTCTAGGTCTGTACAGCTATGCTCTGCTTTTTGACTCAGCCTGAAAAGTGATCCAGGGCTGATGACAAAAAGGCATACTTTGTTTGCTATCCAGAGCATTAAGGAAGCATACATTTTTCTATCTCCTTCTGAAATAGGGAGCATCAACTTCACTATGTTCTTCATTTTAAACAGTTCCATGCAGAAAATGTCTTATGCTTCATAGAAATATAAAGCAAAACCTTATTCAAGAAACTATGTTCAGGAAAAGTTATATATGATACCCCTAAAAAGAGCAAAAAGTAAAATAGCATTATCTTGGGGTCTGGTCCTCCTCTTGCTTATAAGAATACATTTGGGGACACATTTGGGTCTATGTACACTAGGAGAGCTAAACTCAGTCTTTCTAGGGAAAAACATACTTTCTATTGCATAAGCAAATTATTAATCAGTGTTACTATTCATGCACATTAGAGAGCAGAATTTGACTTTAAACCTGTATTGCCTTACAGTGGCAATGCTGATATTTATGACAATATTAGCGTATGTTATTAAGCATGTTTTTTACACATGAATGTGTGTGTGTGTGTGTGTGTGTAGTATGCAGACAAGATAATAGAGATAAAGCAAACCTCTTCCTTCTTTATGTACCATATTTTCTTGCATACAGCACAGCTCCTTGTATAACCCACACCTTTTTTTTCAAGGGAGGCCTGAAGAGGGGGAAAAAAAAAATTCCTTTTGGAGAGCGAGTAGCAGCAGCTACAGTGCTGAGCCTGCTCCCAAACCTGTTGCCACCCCTGCATAGCAGATGGGGCCCGTGGACCAACCCAGTGTGCCAGGTTCAAGGCCACACTCTGAGTCTGACCTGTGCTCTGGCTCCTGAGTCAGGTCAAACTCAGTGTGGCAGGTCCAAAGCCATGGACCAACCCAACATGGCAGTCTAACCTAGCATGCAGGCCCGTGTCATCTTGTTGTGGGGCTCCCTGCAGGTCCAGAATTTTGACAGCAGGAGAGTGGTGGCAGCATTAGCTGCTGTGTTTCACACTCCAATTTTCACCAGCTGGTTTTGGGGGGAAAGATGCAATGTGAGAAAATATGATATTTTTAAATTAGTGAAATGCACCTGTTCATGCAAGGGGTCCATGAAACTGGCATTCTCTTATGTTTTGTGGCATAAGTGGCACCAACGTTAAATTTTTCCCATACTATGTGGCCAGTTTGCCTCACTCATGACCTGGAGAGGACATTTTACAAGTGCATTTGTTTCTTGGCTTGTCCAATGAAGTTGCCACCTAGTATTCCAGTTGCCAACATGGTTTATGAAATGTAGCCAGCTGAGATTCTGACTAGAGCAGACCAAACTGTTGATTTTCTATCGTGCAGGAAAGGAACATTTTCTGTCAGAACAGCAAAATGAAATATTTCAATTTAGGTTAAACTGACCCCAATAAAATATTTTATTTTGATTTCTTATTCCCCAAACTCATGACCTCTGCATGACTTCATGCAAACTACATTTCCATTTGAAAGCCATTCAGATTCCCAACGAGAGGTGATTAGTACCATCAGAGTGTTTTCAGGCAGACCCCCAAACCACCAATTGATGGTAATTTTTTTTCAGCTTCTACTAGACTGTTGAAATAATTGACCTAATGGTGGAATACATCGCAGTTGTACCATAATAGTAATCCTTGAGCCTTCCAAATCCCCAGACCATGAGTTTTTTTTGTCTTCTGCCTTAAGATAGTTTTGCTGCTATTTTTTGTGCTTAATTGTACACATGCCTAAGGACTGTCTTCTCCCTTATGCCCCACTGCAATTCCTAAGGTCAGCTGAGAGCAGCCTCTTGCAAGGACCATTAGTGTACCAAGCTTGTTTGGTGAAAACACATAGGAGGTCATTCTTGGCAATCCCCACTCAGCTCTGGATCTCCTTCACCCTGGAGGCCCACCAGAGCCTGAGCATCTTTCGGAAGCACTGTTTGACCTTCCTATTTGGGCAGCTGTCTAGTAAGCAAGGCTTAAGCTGGAATATTGTTTGGGAATTGCTTCGTGGGAGAGTTCTTTAGATTTTAGTTTAATAACCTGAGTTGTTTTATTCTCTTGTTCGCTCATTCTATAAGTTGTTTTATGCTCTTACTGTAAGCTGCCCTGAGCCAAAGTTGGGAAGAAGGGCATATAAATCAAATAAATACCTAAATAAGTAAATAAAATGTTTTGAAGATGCCTATGGCTACACTGAATGAGTAACAATGACAATATTTTCTTTTCTAGATGACTATCATTTGCCTCTTGATGTCTTACCAGTTATGACAGAGAGTTCTGGTCCCAAGACAGCAAGGGAAGAGTTGCACGAGGAGAACAGACCTTTCCGCTACTGTGGAGTAAAGACCATGGAGCTGTCAGACAGCGACCGCCCTGTCAGCTTTAGTTCCACGTCCTCATCTGCCTCCTCCAGGGATAGCCACTGTTCCTTTGGCAGTAGAATGACCTTAGTTTCAAACAGCCATTTGGGGTTGTTTAATCAGGATAAAGAAGCTGGGGCTATAAAATTAGAGCTGATTCCAGCCAGGCGATTTTCCAGTGAGTTACACAGAAATAAGCCCATGGAGCAAAAGGACACAGAAGAAAGTCTTGAAAAAAGGCCAACTATGCCAAGGAAAGCTGAACCAAAAGGAATGAGCAAAAACTGTGCCATATCCCTGGTTACGGAACCCACGAGTCCGAAGCTCCTGTACGTCGACAGAGTTGTCCAAGAAATTCTGGAGACGGAGAGGACTTACGTGCAGGATTTAAAAAGCATTGTGAAGGTAAGAGACCCGGGTAGAATGGGCTAGTTGCATGACATAAGGGAGTTGCGTAGAGTGTGCCCAAGTATATGATTTTATTACACTAGTGACTGGCTAGAAGCCAAAGGCCTGCATAAAAACTTACTCAGAGATTTTTATTTAAATGAGCACATCCAGTCCCACAGTTCTTGCCTGTATTTGTAGTTTATTTAGCAAATTAATATAAATGGCAGCTCACTAATTAACACTCTCTCTCCACATAATATAACCCCTTTTGGCACGAGGCAAAATTTGGTATCCTAGCAGGAGATATTGATGATAGTCAGGTATTTCTTTGCAGTCCTGTTTATTTACAAAGAATGCACAATATCCCGTTTCACAGAACACTGGAGGAATCTAACAGCAGGAGACAATTTCCATGTTCACAGTCCAAGCTTCTTTCCTGGCAACACATTACCTAAATGCTCAGAATCACACTGCAGGTCCCTCTCCAGTT